CTCAACGTTCGTTTCAGGGTTTTTATGTGACCTTCCTTGATTCCTTTATTGCTAATTTTGGTGCCTGTTTGGCTCTTTTCTGCTAATTTCTTTTCAGTGTGTGCCCAATATAGCGTCATCTTCCTTTTCTTATAAATGTTGTTGCCAGTCGTTTCCCAAACATTTCTCTTATTTCATCACCCCTCTGGAATTCACCCCATTCTATGTTGAACATTTTCCGTAGGCATTAGTTTTCAAATGCATTTAATTTCCGTTCCATGATTAAAATATTGTGCACAGAAATCTAGTATATTACCTCAAAGTAAATCACTCTAAAAGATATAGTTGATAAACAGACAATGTATTGATGGGCACTCATAGAAAGAAGTAGAAATATAGAAGGACACACTAGAAAACATAAAAATCGAAAGCTATAGTTACCGTGCCAGGAATCAAACCTGTCACCTACAAATGGCGCATGCGCCTCTCTATGGAAACAAGCGTACTAAGAACACAACCAACTAGGCACCCCTAAAAGCTAGTCCCGTTTAGGGGGAATTTTTTATTGTCTTATTCAGACAGACAGACACACACACTCAAACACCAAAGACACTTACTAGACACACACACACAGTGGAGAGAGAGAGAGAGAGAGAGAGAGAGAGAGAGAGAGAGAGAGAGAGAGAGAGAGAGAGAACAGAGAAAGAGAGAGAGAGAGAGAACAGAGAAAGAGAGAGAGAGAGAGAGTGACAGAGAGAGAATTACAGTTAACATTGCACATAGCTCAAGACAAATTACACAGCTTTTAGTCTTGTTTAGTCTGTAAAATTGTGATAACGTTCCACTTTTTGTGTGTGGGTGTAATGTGTCTTCTCTCAGAGTGTGTTTTACATTTTGTTTTCCTGAAAAAATTTCCACAGCAAAAATGTGAGTTTATGAACGTTTATTCTTTGTAAGTAATGGCCTCTGAAAAATATGATATTTTTTGCACACAGTTTTTAGAAAGTTTTTTCTAACATTATATGCGCCATCCTTTTGGAAAAAAAAAAATACAGAACATAAGCTCATAATCCCACACTAACCCAGCGTAAAATGGGCATCAAGTAACGTTCTGGGATGTAAAAGCTCCCAGCGTGATGGTGACCACATTATACGTCCAGTTCCAAATGGTCTATAAAAAAAACACCTATATATGTCAATTAAAACGTCAAGTAGAAAGATGAACGTTGCAGCTAAAAAGTCTTCATCAGATACCACACAAAACCTACGATGATTAGGGTGATCACATGTTCTGTTTTCACCAGGACATTGCCATGGCTTGAATTAAAAAGACTCAGACTTGAATTAAAAGCAGAATGGAGCACTCATAGTTTACTACCTTATGTTGACCCATTGTATAAACCAAACCGAACACCAGTATCATGTGACCTGCAGGCCTGTATGGTTAAGGATCAGGGCAGAAATAGACTTGATATAGCCCTAACCTATTCAGAGCCCTGAGGCCCTAATGTTTTAAATTATGTCATCTAATCACAGAAAACTTCAAAATATATACACCTTTTAAATATAAGGATGATGAAAATATACTGTAGTTTTATTTTTAGTTTTAAAAAACGCACCTGCAAAATCACATACATTATATTATATAATCCTCTCTGTGAACAAATAATAGGAATTTGTTGAGGCCCCTTAAGACTAGGAGGCCCCAAGCTGAAGCATGGTTAGCTTATGCCTAAATCCAGCACTGGTAAGCAAGTAGCTGAGTATGTGATCTTAGTTTCGAACTGCATGGGGCCAGATTTTTGTAACTAATTCAAGGCTGCTGGGTAGACCCAGCTCAATATAAATGCCAGAATTTGTCCTGGGAGGTAAAGGCAGCCAGGTAATGTTCACATCACTTATCGAGGTCTGAATGATCTATGAAAATATAGGCCTCACATATAAGCTTGATGTACCAGTAGTATGAATGGATACTTTACTCGACCACTTGCATCGTAGAGGTCGGTTCATTTCATTTTTATATCAAGGTATACATTAAACTCTTTCAGGCCTGACAGTTTCAAATCACAAAACCAATTTGGCAAAATAATCACAGCAAAAAAGAGCATCAGTATATAATTCTCAAAGATACAGCATTTAATGAACATTATTTTTAAATATTTGGCCAGATTTCTTTTGCATACCCAGCCAAACATGAAATAAATAATAACACACCGTGTGTTGCATTGATGCACATAGATATAAACTGAGCACTCATAGCGCATTGTTTGGGACAGAAAGACTTAACAACAACCTGGTAGTATATAGAAACCGGATCCTGGGGGCTTGGGTGACTTAAGCACCGCTGTACTCCCCCCCCCCCCCCCCCCCCCCCCCGACACCAAAAGGAAAAACCCATTAAAATGTGTTTGTCACTGGGTTTAGCTGCCCCTTTTTATCCAATTATATAAATTCTCTTTGAAAGTATTTATTTATTTATTTTATATCTTCTTCTTCTTCTTCTTCTTTGCGTTCACCAGCTGTAAACTCTAGTGGACATTTTTGGTTGTTCGTCCACTTCTGGACTGCAGTCCTGTTCCAAAACCTGGGTTTTGCGTGTGCATCCGTTTGACAGTTCTGAAACATTTGTGTCCAGACTGTTGGTTCCTTGCCTCTCAGGCAGATGCACTCCGACTTCGAAGGAAGCTCGCAATTAGTCGACTCTTACGACATGCTTTTGGGTAGGCAGAGGGTCTATTCCTGTTTTCCCCATAATAGAGCCCCGGAACCCACACAGGGTATATATTTTATATTATTTCAAATACCTTATTATATTTATATGCCATTCATAGCAGTATAAAAAGGTAAAGTCAGGAGATGTGAACCAGTGTAATTGCACACAGTTATAAACCATGAGTGCTCTGCCACCAGTACGGACAGCTGATAAGAAACTGTCCACAAGTGTCGCCGTCCCCACGCAACTCCATTTACCTCATAGTGTTAACTCTGATACCCATTTCCTTAAGGCTTGGTGAACCCTGGGAACTGTCTGGTTTTGAACACCGGCCATAGGCTGCAGCTAGATTTGAAAGCGAGTCTCCTGTTGGCTGCGCTAACGCAGTATTATTCTTGTTAGTATTATTTGTCTCTTGAACTAGAATCGTGCCCCTTGAGACCATCCTTGCTACACACAAACAAAACTGTAAGTTAGGAAGAAGGCTCAATATTTCTTGGTGTCCCTACTACTGGCTGATAGGCTTTCAGGTAGGGCTAATGTCATTCAATGGACGAGGCTGCATTACTGAGAGTTACTGCTCACCGTGAATTAAGACATCTGCAAGAATCAAGGTCTTAACAACGGATCAACATCATGGCACACGGGTAGTAACCCATAAGTGCTCGGTTCTTCTTCTAACTCAAGTCTGAGTCCGAAGAAGCTCATCACAGTGCATAGGCTCTGTAGCACTGGCGAGGATCCTGAAATACTTTTGGGTAGATTTTTAACTCCAAATTTTGCCCAAGAGATTTTTTTTATAGGTGGGCAACAATGCACACGGGTGTCTGATCTCATTACCCAGAGACCGGGGGAATTACTAGAAGTCCAGGTTCTATGTTAAAAAATCCATTCCGGGGATTGAACCTGGAACCTTAAGCACTCGAGGCGGACACCATTCCTCCAGACCACACAGCCCCCTGCAAGAATCAAGTAATGAAGGTGTAACTGCAACCATGACCAGACTGCAAGTTCAGCAAATAAAACAAGGTGAAGCCTGACTATGTATGTTCATCAGCTTTATTTTCTAGCCAAAAGTTCTGAGTGTTCATCCACTTGTGAACTTGGTCTTGTTCCGGAGCTTTAGTTTTGCATCACCATCGCCTTGACTGTTCTGGCTTATTTATATGCAGACTGTTGGTTCCTCACCTCTCAGGCAGATGCACTCTGGCTTTGAGGGAAAACACCCCTAATTAGTCAACTTTTATGACATGCTTGTCATGGAGCAGTGGATCTATTATTTTGGCTCTGCAATGAGGCCCAGGAACCCAGACAAGAAAAATAAGAATAATAAACCAGCACAGAACTGGTGTTTAAACCAGCACAGCACTGGTGTTTAAACCAGCACAGAACTGGTGTTTAAATCAGCACAGAACTGGTGTTTAAATCAGCACAGCACTGGTGTTTAAATCAGCACAGCACTGGTGTTTAAATCAGCACAGAACTGGTGTTTAAATCAGCACAGAACTGGTGTTTAAATCAGCACAGAACTGGTGTTTAAATCAGCACAGAACTGGTGTTTAAATCAGCACAGAACTGGTGTTTAAATCAGCACAGAACTGGTGTTTAAATCAGCACAGAACTGGTGTTTAAATCAGCACAGAACTGGTGTTTAAATCAGCACCTAACTGGTGTTTAAACCAGCACAACACTGGTGTTTAAACCAGCACAGAACTGGTGTTTAAACCAGCACAAAACTGGTGTTTAAACCAGCACAGAACTGGTGTTTAAATCAGGACAGAACTGGTGTTTAAATCAGCACAGAACTGGTGTTTAGATCAGTACAGAACTGGTGTTTAAATCAGTACAGAACTGGTGTTTAAATCAGCACAGAACTGGTGTTTAAATCAGCACAGAACTGGTGTTTAAATCAGCACAGAACTGGTGTTTAAATCAGCACCTAACTGGTGTTTAAATCAGCACAGAACTGGTGTTTAAATCAGCACAGAACTGGTGTTTAAATCAGCACAGAACTGGTGTTTAAATCAGCACAGAACTGGTGTTTAAATCAGCACAGAACTGGTGTTGTCAGTTGCTACACACTGAGGGAGCTACTGTGAATTGGGGACAGAACCACTTACGAACTTATTGGTTCGATGTGCAGTGAGAATAATCTGCCGACTAACTAACTAACTTACAGGCACACGCAAAAAACAGCAACATCATTTAGCCTGAAAATCATATGAAATATATGCAGTTTAATATTTATTTTATGTGGCAAACGTGGGAAAGACAAAGGCCTGAGTACTTGACAGAAATGTTATGCTTGTTATCGAATGCATTCTATAGCCATGAATTCGTCATCTTTGGGTGATTTCAGCTGTTTCCAGAGTAAAAAATCTCCCGCTGCAATAAGAGAAATGTCAAACCGGTTGGGTCAAATAGTCAGATGGTGTGTCAAATAGTCAGTAGGTGTGTCAAATAGTCAGTGGGTGTGTCAAATAGTAAGCAGATGTGTTAAATAGTCAGTAGGGGTGTCAAATAGTCAGCAGATGTGTCAAATAGTCAGCAGTGTCTAATAGTCAGTGGGTGTGTCAAATATCAGCAAATGTGTCAAATAGTCAGTGGGTGTGTCAAATAGTCAGCAGATGTGTGAAATAGTCAGTTGGTGTGTCAAATATCAGCAGATATGTAAAATAGTCAGTGATTGTGTCAAATAGTTAGTTGATGTATCAAATAGTCAGCAAATGTGTCAAATAGTCAGTGGGTAGTCAGCAGATGTGTAAAATAGTCAATGGGTGTGTCAGTCAGCAGATGTGTAAAATAGACAGCAGGTTTGTTGAATAGAGAGTGGGTGTGTCAAATAGTCAGAGGATGTGTCAAATAGTCAGTGGATATGTCAAATAGACAGTGGATGTGTCAAATAGACAGTGGATGTGTCAAATAGTCAGTGAGGTGTCAAACAGTCAGTGGGTGTGAAAAACCAAAACAATTTAATTAAGGCCCATATAATGTCTACCCCAAATACCACCCGGCAGTAGTGTATATTATGTACAACATATAAAACAATTATGTATGTTACGACTTCCCTATGGTTACAAAGTAACCTGCAGTCTGATGTGTGGTAGAATCATTTTAAAGTTTGTCCTTAGTGGTTCAATCAGTTTGTAACCTCTGGGCTGCTCACCTGAAGGCTTGCTATACTATCGTGAGATTTAACAACCTCAGTTTTGATGGCAGAGCTAGATACTACGTTCAACCTCACCAGGACCGCACAGCAATTATTTGTTTTTAAATATCCAGAAACCATAAGTTGTTAACCCTTTGGCTCGGTACAATGGATATCGCAACCTTTCGGTCTTGATTCCATGATAGGTACCGTAAATCTGGAAGAAATGTGGCTTTTCTGCCTACCCCAGGGTGTGAACCCGGACCATAAGGAGTTTATCACCCTCTCCCCGCATGTCAGGTTTAACCAACTACGCTAGAGAGGCAGGCTACAGCGAGTGATAAGCACCCTGTGACACAAAGTGAAAATATGTGGATGAGAATCACATAAGTACAAGTCCCAGAAACCCCATTTAACCATTAGCTTATATTAGGACCCTGATTACAGCCAGAGCGGGGCTTTAAAAAACCCCAACAAAATTGCATCCCAAATTGCGACTAGGTTAATATATGAACCTCAAAAAAAAACACTATACCTGGCAAATTGTATAATCACCCCCAGTTAGTAGTAAGTCAATTTTAAGGCACCAGGACATCACACAGAGCGATAAACACCCGGTGACACAAAGTGCCACCATGCAGAGGAGGATCACCCGTCGGGACCCTGGCAACAGCCGGGGTTGGAATTCAAAAAAAACGAAAAATTGCATTCAACATGGGGGCGACTTATCGCCCCCAGAAGAATATTTATGTTAAAGTTATAAAAATGCTATTTAAGTCTATAAGACATTTATTGATGTTTTAAAGCATAACGTGTGACACATTTTAAGAAAAATACATTATATTTTGTGGAGAAATCTTAAATCTATTGATTTTAACATTCTAATAAAAAAAAAATTATGTGATAAATTTCTAAATTTTCTTTCCTGGTTGCATCCCTTATTTGGATTATACAAAACTATATTAGAATTATTTCCCCTCTACAGAGATGTTTTCTCCTCAGATTTTCTCATTTTTGTATCCTCTGCTGGAATCCCTTAGCAGGGATATTTTGTTAAATACAGTTCTTAAAATAATCTGGTTATTTTTATGCTGTTTGCTCTAGCTTTAAGCAATGCTGTCTAATTTAATTTGAGCTTGTCGTGTTGTTATTGTTCTTTCAGCAAGATTTGTCTTCAAACTTCATTAATTTTCTCCAGAGCTATTGCATGGCTCACAGCAAATATTTTCTAAGTGTGTCTATATATTTTCCATGTCACTGAAAGATTTGTTAGAGAGCAATTTTTACGATAAACTTTCCCATTTTTCAATCAATGTGTTCAATGTTTGGCACACTTGTTGAACAAGTGGAAGACAGAGAAAGATGGCTGGTTTTGTGTGCTAATGCTTCCATCAATACACCTCCATGACCCTAACAGGTAAAGGGTTATGTTATGTAAGTTCTCAACAGATCCCAGTTTGGATTGATTCTGCAGAACAGGATAAGATGACTATTAATAGCACTGACTAAAATCCTCAATAAAGGGGACAAAAGAGACTGTGAAACATACAGGAGCATCTCCATCTTGAGCCATACTGGCAAGATGTTTGCAAAAATATTGGAACTTAGAGCTCGATCAGTACTAGAGCCCCAGTTAAGTAAGAGACAGTTCAGTTCACAAAGGGAAAGAACTGTACAGATGCAATATTTCCTTTAAGGCAGATATGCGAGCAGTCTATTGAATATGATAAAAGACAACTTCTTGCATTTATAGATCAAGTGAAGGTGTTCGATCGAGTCAACAGATGCAAAACATGGAAAAATCTAGAAGATTATGGTATTCAAGATCAACTGTTAGGTAACATCATGGCTGTTTATTAAGATAGTCAGTGCACAATAAGAACAACAAAAGGAATGACAGACTGGTTTCCCATCTCATCAGGTGTCAGACAGGGATGTGTCCTCCCACCATTGCTATTCATTACTTACATGGATAGAATTACACAGGAGGCAAATACAGACACTGAAGAAATCAATGAACTTATTTTTGCAGATGATCAGTGTCTAATACAACACCAAGAACAGGATTGACAACATCATACTGTCGCCTTACATCAAGCCTGCACAGAGTATGATATGAGAATAAACACCACAAAAACTGAGGTAATAAGAATAGGCAGGAAACATAATACCATGAACATTCATGTTAACAGTACTATAGTCAAACAAGTTATGACAATTCAAATATTTAGGAAGCATATTTACAGAGGATGACAGAATAAACAGAGTTATAGAAGCCAGAGTACAGAGGGTAAATGCTGTCTCCTACAAGTTAGCCCCACTGCTTAGACACCCAAATGTCTCCCTTCCAGCAAAACAGCAAATGATTTATAGCATCTTTATCCCTACTTTATATTATCAGTGCCAAACATGGACAATGAATAGGGCACTAGAACAAAAAATAACTATATCTTAAATGCACTGTCTTCGCAAGGTCACTAACAACACTAGACGAGACAGAGTTACGAATACCAGCATTAGAGAGAAATTTGGAACATGACCATGGCGGGATTATACTGACAAAGAATGAAATAGTTCAGCTATCTAGTGAGAATGCAGCCAGACCAAACTACATAGAGGCTTTTTACAGAAAAACATCTGGAAGAAAGACCAAGAAAGAGATGGGTAAACTGTGTAGCTGAAACCTGCGACCCGAGAAATTCAAGACAAATACAGGAAACCACAACACTTGGCTACAACCTGGTATCAGTGAGATGACACAAGAAAGAGAAGAAGACCAAGAAGAGAGAGAGAGAGAGAGGGGGGGGGGGTGTGGGGGTTAACCTGAGCAACTGATTTGGTGTGTATGCACTCCATCCACTATACCATCACATCACAGCTCACTGTTTCTGTTGTGTTTTAGAAGAATGACATAGTCATGCACTCATAAGCCAGACAGTGATCCTCACTGCAGTTGGTCTTACCTGCTTCATCCAGTCTGTAGCAGTAAGAAACTAAACTGCTGTGGAACATACAATGATGGCCATTGTTGACTGAAGAGAGACACTTCATACAGGGCAGAACAACATGGTAGCCTACAACTCCACCACTAGAAAATGTCATTAAGGAGAAATATTTATTTTATGCAAATTTGACAACAAACGTTCATATAAATTAGTAGAAGCCAATCACTCTACCACTAACTTCAAAAATCTGGCTTATTTGTAGGCAGATTTGCCTCTCAGGCAGATGCCCTCTGACTTAAGGGAAAATGTAAATTTCATCAACGTTGGCTAGCTCCTTGTTAAGAACATGTTTCTGGAATGACCACGGAAGGGTGTAGATTGTAGATAGCTCTAGACTGGTATGAGCCACAGCCTTGGTGTCCTACCATGTGTGGTTCAACACCTCTATATCCCAGAAACACTCAAACGTGTAAAAACGAACAAATTCATGAAACTGAGAGATAAAGGAAGACAGTGAGAGAATATTCCTGATAGCTTCTGTCATGACAGTAAGAAATGTCAGCACATGAACAGACGCATGCTGTAGGAGACTGAAAACAGGGGTAAATATTAAAGAGTTCCCCCCCATGTGGGTTAGCTCCACCCATTTACCCACTAGGTCACTTTTCATTCACTTTTTATTTAAATTTCATAAGCCTTGTCAACTTTGCTGAAGGCTACAGGGGTGTCCCCGGTGTACTGTTTGCTAGAAAAACTTTCTCCGTTGTCTTCCATTTGCATTTTCATTCAGAGAAAGAAAATGAATATGACGTAGGTTGCAGTACTCTGGTAGGGTGGTTTGTGTTAGGGCCAGTCTGCATGTTTTTTGGAGTGTTAAAAGCGCTGACGTGCTGGAACATGCAGCATGCGATATCAACACATAAAATAAACAATACAAAAATTGTTTAACTAATATAAAATTCATATGCTAGGTCAAAATTTTCAATGGCTATGATGGCTGAGCATCCTGGATTTGTCTAATCATATATGACATAACACAACATGATATGCTAGGTCAACATTATTGATTAATATTAATGACATGCTATGATGGATATAATATGAGCATCCCTGGATGATTGTCTAATCATATATGACATAACACAACATGATATGATATTATATGATATGACATGATATTATATGCATGATATTATATGATATAATATTATATGACATGATATTATATGATATTATATGATTTAATATTATATGACATTGTATGACATGATGATATCTATGTTATTATATTATACAATATGATTTGATGTGACATGACATGACATGATATGAGTTAACAGGACATAATATGACACATAGTATATGGTTTGACACAACATGATATGACATGACATTTCATGACATGATATAATATATGACAAAATGTATAATGACACAACATGATATGATATGACATGACCATCACACACAAGGAAAAAAAAAAAAGAAGAAAAAATCTTACCAGCAAATACATGCTAAACTCTGGATTTACACCTACAATTCTTGGCAGTAAACATTTCTGGCACAACACCCACAGAACTGTATGATAAAGCAAAATTGTGTTATAAACTTTCTATAGCTAAATTTACCCATAGAGACCCAGATACACATTCACCCACCCGCATGCACACATGTGTAAATCAACTTAAGGTCATCAACAAGGTCAACATCCTTGAAGACACAAAGAAAATGAAACACAGTTTCTTCTTCTTCTTCTTTGCGTTCGGTTTCGTATGCTCAGATCAGACCATCAGGTGGGTTGCCTCTATGAACTCGCATGTCAGCTGCAGGTCCTGCATGGTTCCCCATAGCTTGCTCTGCACACTTTGCTCTTGAGGTCAGATGTCTTTTCGAAGCTGCAGGTAGAGCGGGCAGGTCTGCAGAATGTGCTCAGGTGTTTGTGGTCCTGTTTGACAGGCACACTGTGGGGCACTGTACAATCTTTATTTTATGCATGTGGTAGTTGAAATTGCAGTGTCCTGTTCTTAGATGGAAAATTGTTGTATGTTGCTTTCTGTTGAGTCTGCTGTTGGGATCTTGTGGATGTTTACTGTTAGTTTGCTCTCTCCACAATCCCTTGTATTTTCCTTTGATACATGTAAAAACACAGTTTGATAGCAGTAAACAATCTGACAAGTTCACAAAGGGGGTCTCTGTGGCTCAGCTGTCAAGCCATCTACCTCATGACCTGAAGAATAAATATACTAGTGGTATTTGTGGCGAATGGGTCAAGCCATTATATTATAGGCTGCATTTCACGGCTGCACCCTTTGGTTTACAAGTGCCATTTTTACTGAGACCCCTGGCGATCATCACTGGAGCTACAGTGTTCATGTGACACTCTTCGCAGGTGGCTAGCCATTCTACAGAGAGAGAGAGAGAGAGAGAGAGAGAGACTGCACCATATAGGATAAAACATGGTGCAATGAAGTCAATCACTCAACTTCAACCTTCAACTTTATTCTGAAGAATACATGTTTGTTTCAAGGACTGTCCTTTGGTTCTTGAGTTCAATTTATATACACATCCCTGGTGATTATTACTGTAGCTATGGAATTTGTGCTTTGTGTGACTCTCATATGTGACAACACCTAGTCCAAGGAAGTTAATCATCAGACATGGAAAGATGGACCTCTCATGAATGGTGACACTTAGCCCTCTATAATGGTTGTTGTTTATGCACAGCCTTCTTTATTTTTAATAATTTCTGACACTGATGGTCCTCCACGCCATGACAGTTAACTAGGCAGCATCTTCTCTCTCAGTCTACCTTTGCTTCCTCCCTTCCAACTGTCCCACTGTCATGACATACTCAAGTTTTCTCCTTTTTATGATATGACCAAAAATTGTAGCTTGTTTCATTTTGATGTTGAATGTGGAATTAAGAATCGACCTCACAGCACTTGGGACACTCCCATAAGCGCTCCATCCCCATCTTCAGCAGCAAGCGAAGAGTTAAAATTCTGATGGTACCAGTAACAGTCTGATTGTATATCTGTCTCGCCCCTCCCCTGAGTGTCGAATGTCAGCCAGATCCCCTTGTCACTCATTGCAGTGCCATTCTCCTCAGACCGTAATGATCCATCTGTTCCTCGGCACTGTTCACTCGTTCCCAAAGGGCCCTCACAACATCCAGCCTGTCATACATCAGTTCACCACCAAGTGGTGCAGAACTGGCCAGTCTATCCGCCTGCTCATTTCCCATCGTGACCTGGGGAAAATATCCAAAGGATGCTAACAAACCGGGACCTCTGAAGTTTCCTTTCTCACTACTGACTACTCACTTCCTTTTGATATGAGTAGTCATATCTTCTCACTACTGACTACTCACTTCCTTTTGATATGAGTAGTCATATCTTCTCACTACTGACTACTCACTTCCTTTTGATATGAGTAGTCAGTTCTCCTCATGAGTTATGTCTATCCAGACATCTTTCGTACTCTTTCTATCTATCTCAGATGTTCTGATCATTTATCTATAAGACCACATCTCTGCCGCTTCCACATAATCAGTATAATGTAGTACAATGAGTGTAAGGGCAGCCAGAGTCTTATCACATACAGGTAGAAAAGTAACTGATAAGGCCAATTTTGGCATGGAACTCACTCGTCTAATGATGTATGAAATCATTTATATTAACTTAACATCTAAATATTACTACAAAATGGTGGGTAGCTGGTTTGCATTTGGCCTGGTGAAATGCCTCATGCGATAATTATGGGTGTGTATGGCCAGCTTATCATGACTGACTTCTTACTTCCATCAATGCAATTCTCATGCAACTGTAGGTGTTGGCAGATCTAGCAGTGTCCTTATGCATTTACTTTGAGTGTATATGCTACTGGATTTTGCCAGGACTAACTGTCTACTTGCTTATAAATGGGACAGGGGCATTTCATGTGATTGTCACTGGCATACGCATGAGGCAAATAGGGATTTACCTGTTTTGCAGGCAAGTTGAAACCTCAACTAACCCTATGAATAAATATTACTGAAATAAAACATACGTTACCTTCTGTCATATTTATCTGTAGAAAATAATTCTGTTTTCCCATCTGCAACTAAAACCGCCAGCATACCACGTCTGCACACCGTCTCACCACAGACCTTGCAGTCCAAAATGTACACAACCTTTTTGCCAAATCCCGGATGAAGATCCGTTAACACCATTTTATTAAGGATGTTGTATACTTCTGTTTAGCTGCACGAATAAAAGTGGCCTGAATTAGTGCAACAATGGTGGTCACTTTATCAAGCATAACTATGATATTTTTATCTTTTGTGCCCATCGTAAGGCTGACCCGTTTCAGCCTTCGGATGTACTGAGCTTATACAGCAAGACCTATATTTTATAATTTTTGTTTAATTGGTCAATCCCCTGGCACCGTCCATTCTAGGAATTTTATCTGTGCCCATGTAAGGCTGGTTCAGCCTGGGAGCCAAGGAATTTTTTTTTTCAAAGTCTAGCACCGTCCAAATTCGAACCCATGACTTTTGGATCTGCAGATAAGCATCCAACAACACGGCACCTACCTTTAGCATACAGTGATAGACCTAAATTCCCTCTGGTCTCTGGGTAGTGAGATCAGAGGCCCGTGTGCATTGCTGCGCACGTAAAAAATCTCTTGGCAGTTGGAAATCGAAAAGAGTAGCTTTATGGCGCTGCCAGGGCAAAATTTGGAGTTAAAAATCTACCCAAAATATTTCAGGATCCTCGCCAATGCTACAGAGTCTGTGCACTGTGCTGAGCTTTTTCTGACTCAGACTTGAGTTAGAAGTAGAACGGAGCACTTATGGGTTACTACCGTGTTGTGATGTTGATGCGTTGTTCAAAACCTAAAAAAAAAACCTATATTGCTATTGATGGACTGGCACTCAGTGGGTGACCTGGTCAACTCAACACTGATGGACTCAACTCTGTCAAACCAGAAGGTTTCACAGGAAATGCCAAAGTGAAGAAATAACCAGGATAAAAAAGCAGGAATGTATGACTTTCTAAGTTGCAATATGCACAGTGGCAGTTACGCTAGGGGAAACCAATGTATTGCTTTATTTCCCTTTCTACTATCCTCCAGATTTCTTTCATATCTTTTATGTTTTTTCCATCTGCAATCCGTCAGTGAGCTGTCCTTGCAAAGTGTCACGAGGCAGCTGCAAACCCGGCCAAACACTCCTCTATGCCATGATAAAAGGCTGCCTTTGCGCGTTCACACCCCTCTATGCCATGATAAAAAGCTTTCTTTGCGAGTTCACACCCCTCTATGCCATGATAAAAGATTGTCAAAAATCTTTCCCTATCTCTCTTTTCGCAAATATTTCAGTGGCCACAGAATGTTCCAGTTTCATTCTTTTTTAACCTTCTCTCTCATTATATTTCTAAAACTTCTGTGGAGAAAGTCCTTTTCTATTTTATTTTACTTTATTGATATGAATGATGAGGGGCCAGAAAGAATATATATATATAATATATATATATATATATATATAGTATATATATATATATATATATGGATATATATATATCTTTTGCAACCATTCAGCATTTCAACTGAGATATCACTATCATCAAGTGCCTTGCAGCTGGCGTAGACGTGCATGCATCTCCGTAGATCTCGGTCTTTGCTGTTGTGGATCAGTGCCACTGATGACATTCCTCCATGCCACTGTCTTAAGCCATCCACTATCGTTTCTCTTGGTCTGCCTCTTCTTATTTTCCTTTTTTCATCACATGACCAGAGCTGTGATTGTTCCCTTTCCATTGTTGTATATAATATTCTACTTTCATTAGCCATTTCCTTCTGCTATTTATTCTGGCAGTCCGAGGTATTCGCATTATTCTTACTCAAGAACCACATAACAGTTGCCTCCAAACTCTTTAATTTGCTCAAATTACAAGATTCGCTACCATGATGAGATATACAATACCCATAAAATTATTATCTGACGCTAATACTTATATAATTAATTAATCAGCCTACACAAAACAATAAACGTATTTGGAATAGTGAAAAGTGTGTCGGCGAAAACGCGACTTACTTCTACTATTCATGCTGCATACACACAGTCCATACATATCAGTAAGTCAATGGCAACCGTATACAGAATTATTCTTACTTTTTTAAAAGGTATTAGAGGTATGTATGTTAATATAGCTAATATGTCAACCTTATTTAACTGAATATATACTCGCTTTTCTAATAAAAAAAACTGACTAGGTCGAAGGTCTTTTACGAATAACTTGAACTCGCCATAGACAATGCTGGCGATGAACAGCAGACAATCGAAAATATAAAAAAAAAATCAAGAACCTTTCCAACACACTCACAGTTATATCTAATGGGATTCCCCCTGACGAAAGCAGGATCACTTTCCATTGGTTAATATCAAAATACTTTATTAAATATTCAAAGATGATTGGTTAGGAGGTTTCCTCAGCCGCCATCTTCCGCTAACGGCGAGTGAACCAGAATCCACCGCGCCTAGCAGACCGTGTGTTACTGAAGAAGTCGGCCGAGCGTGACCAGCGAGTGCTAAAACTCCTCGACCTGACCTATTCTTTTTAACTTTGGATATTCTGACAAAACTGCTGAGCACTTGAAAAAAATGTCCGAAAGACGAAGCAAGAAGGAGAAAGAGATTGTTAATGAGCTGGAGAATCACCTGCGAGGTAAGATGCATGTACCTGTTTGAAAATATGTTTTGTTAACACGGTGTTACAAAAATAAAGCCGCCCTTTTGTTTGACTCGCTCGCTTTGTGTCGTGTCGCTGATTGCGCTGATGTAGTCACCGGTGGATTCGTTACTCACTCTTTTAGTATGACACGTAGCGGCCTGCTCCGTTTTTTGGCACTGGTTCCATAGATTAAAACAGAACATATTATATGAAGCAAAGACAGTATCGTTAGCACCCTTGTCTGCCAGCGCTGTGGATGGACGTTCAAATCCCTTTGTTGAGATGTCTCTTTCACTGATCCGAGCTCTCTGTTGGTTCAGCTTAAATGAGTACCAGGACATTTCTAGGAAAGTAAAGAACTTTATCGTAACAAAGCCACTCCATACTGCTAGTTACATTTGATCTAAGAAACGATCTGGCATCATAACTGTGGAGCCTGTGGCTCCATTTTAGAGAACAAAGATAGACCCACAGCTCCCCTAACAAGCATGTCGTAGGAGGCAACTGATTAGGGGTGTGTTTCCTTTAAAGTCAGACTGAATCTGCCTAAGACACATAAACAACAGTCTGCATGTGGAAAAGCCAGATATGGGGGGAAAAAAAGGTTGTGCACTCAAAACCCAAGTTCTGGATCAAGACCAAAGTCCAGGAGTGGACAAACAACCAGCAGTTTCCACCGGAGTATACAGCTAGTGTGCAGCTGTCGAAAGCTATGTAGAAGCAGAGGAGATGAAAGACTTAAAGGCGTTGTCTGTTGTGCGCACATCCCACCGTCCTTTATGTAGAGCACACACCTCAGCCAGTATCGCTTTTCACTGACTTGTACAGCTATGTTACTTGTTTGTTGTTTCGTTAAGAAAGCTGTGAGTTCGAACACATTTAACATACGTAGACTTGTCTGTCCTTATCAGCATAATAAGTCGTCCCTTTGTATGATGCAATTTGTTTTTGTTATTTAGCCCCACCTCGGCTTGTGCCGGGGGCCCTAAATATATCCGGGCCATAAATATGGCCTAACGGCTGATCGGGGTTTCCGGGTCCTCTCACGGGTGAACCTCATCCGCATGGTGGCACTTTGTGTCACCGGGTGTTAATCGCTTGTGTGATGTCCTAGTGGGGTACAACTTACTTGCTTGCTTGTCTGCCCTTGCCCATGGTTGCAGCGAGCGCCACCTGTATCTTATTACGGAATACCATTAGTGTCATTTACTGCTGACGCTACTGTTAAAATATATCTCTCTCGTGTTCCATTTGATAATGTACCCTGGTATCGGATGTGACTGTCAGTGTCGTTGCCACCACAATAGGCTTGGGGAAGACAGAGACAGACATACAACCAGAGGGAAGGAGAGTAGTAGTGATTTAAGTACCAATATCGTATTCAATTCATCTGGTTATAATTGGTATGTATAGTGTTTTTTTAATCTATCTATCTATCTATCTATCTATCTATCTATCTATCTATCTATCTATCTATCTATCTATCTATCTATCTATCTATCTATCTATCTATCTATCTATCTATCTATCTATCTATCTATCTATCTATCTATCTATCTATCTATCTGTCTGTCTGTCTGTCTGTCTGTCTGTCTGTCTGTCTGTCTGTCTGTCTGTCTGTCTGTCTGTCTGTCTGTCTGTCTGTCTGTCTGTCTGTCTGTCTGTCTGTCTGTCTGTCTGTCTGTCTGTCTGTCTGTCTGTCTGTCTGTCTGTCTGTCTGTCTGTCTGTCTGTTTGTCTGTCTGTCTGTCTGTCTGTCTGTCTGTCTGTCTGTCTGTCTGTCTGTCTGTCTGTCTGTCTGTCTGTCTGTCTGCTGTCTGCCGGCCGGCCGGTCGGTCGGTCGGTCGGTCGGTCGGTCGGTCGGTCGGTCGGTCGGTCGGTCGGTCGGTCGGTCGGTCGGTCGGTCGGTCGGTCGGTCGGTCGCTCGAGAGAGCTAAATGAAATTAAACCCTGCACCATAAGTCGACCCCATCGCTTATAAACACAATTAAATGCAATTCTGTCGACTGTAAAGACTGTAGGCGCCAGGTCGACCTGTATCGAGCATGCGAAAGATGCTAACAGCTAACGTATTGTTTGACATGACAACACAGGGACGGCTGAAACATTCAGTAAACTTCGGTAATTACGCAATGCAAACGTCGTTGCCATGGTATTAGCTCTTCTAACCGAAAGTTAGCACGTCGGTGTTGTTTACGGCACCTGTCCTGTCACCAAGCCTGACCCAGGACAGCCGTTTGCCTGGACTGAATCCTTTCAGTACTCAATGACTCATCGTGCGTTTTTTGCTTTCTGCTGACATGCTTGTCTTTTCTTGAGTCATTGAGTTCCAAACAGCGCATGATGTGTGGAATACTGTCTGCTAAATTTTGTCGCCCATAACGCACTCAAGAAATCTGGTTTCTCTAACGGTCACTATTATTTTTATATCACCACTTTGAAAGAAATTACTGGTGAATTTTAATCACCGATATTTCTTCATTGGCACTTCTTACGCA